CTGTGAGAGCCAGCATGGCTTAGTGGTTCAAACCTAGAAGGTTCTGACTACAACTATGGAGACCAGGATTTGATTCCCCATTCAGCCATGAAATCCACTGGGTGACATGGAGCAAATCACATGCTCTCAGCCTCAGAGAAAGGCAATGGCAAACTTCCTCTAAACAAATCTTGCCAAGAAAACCCCATGATTATGGCCTTAGGATCACCATGTCAGAAATGATGTGAAGGCACACAACAAAAACAAATCAGATGCTGTGGAGCAATGGCAGAAGCAGTCTTGCCATCATGTCCCACTTGCAGCCTCCCAGGGCCATCTAACTGGGAAAGAGGATGCTGGACTAGATGGACCTTTGCTCTTATCAAGCACTGCTTTTTTTTTAAACCTATCATTTCAGAACCAAAATATCCCGTTGCCCCATCAGCTCTCTTTCCATTCCAGTTCTCCTACCTGATCTGGCTGGCTTGCTGCCATTTCCATTGCTCTAGGAGAAACGGTTGAAGGAGGCCATAGGCTTATTCCATCTCCTAAATGGAAGAAAACAGATAAAGCAGTTGTTATCAAAGTACAATAACATCCAAAATTCACAAAACCGTGACACCTTTATTCAACCAATCAAAATGCACAAAATACATGATGCAAGTTTTTAATGTATTTTGTATATTGTGCATTTTGGCTGGTTGAATAAAGCTATCACTGTTCTGTGGATTTTGAATGTTTTTGTACTTTGCTACATGGCCAACATGGCTACCCATGAATATGTTTCCAGCTTACTGGACTGAAATAAACTTGTTGCAAAGGATGCTTTTGAAAAAATAAATTTTAAATAATTTAGAATTGAAAGAAAGGTAAACATCTGTAATCAATACTCTACAGTGAAGCAGCTGTGATTGATACTCTACAGTTATGTTTTAAAGATATTAAGCAAGTTCCTTATTTTCCATAGGGATTTATGTACCAAATCAGTCATCTAGATGGAATCACCAGCCTAAATCCTACTAGAGTAGACCCATGGGAGCAGTTGCTGAACAGCACATCAACACTTCTGTAACTCCAACTGATTCAAAATTCAGACACATAGCAGTATTACTCTGGAATACCAGAATGCAAAGAGATCTTATAGTACCTTTGAGGGTAACTGAGTGAAAAATGTTGTAGCATAAGCTTTTCTAGATTTGGTCTACTTCCTCAAATACATGCTACAACTCCTTTTACTCAGTTAGCCTTAAAGGTGTTACAGTCAGCCCTTCATATCCATAGATTCAAGTATCCATAGTTTCAAAATATTTTCGAAATATATACATTCTAAAACCCAAACCCTGATTTTGCCATTTTATACAAGGGACAGCATTTTACTATGCCACTGTATATAATGGGGCATGAGCATCCATGGATTTTGGTATCCACAGGGCTACAAGATCCCTTTGCATACTGATAAGAGAAGACTGAGAGGAGACACAAGTGAATTTCTTCCAAAATTCTGCTCTCACATCAAATGCAGCAAAGATTTGTTCTCCGCTTCTTCCCCAGAGAATGGGACTAGAGCTACTGAACTAGCAGAAAATTTTAGAAGGTAAGAGCAGTTTGAAAATGAGACGAACTATCTAGAGGGCTGAAGGGCTATACTGGAAGCGCTCAAGCACAGGCTAAGTGCAATGAGCAAGACACTAGACTTCAGCTCCCAGAAGACCCTGCCCCCATGACCAATGACAAGGAATTCTGGGAGTTGAAGCCCCACACATCTAATGTGTGATTTTGTGTAGAATTCAAATCACCAGTACAGTCTCCCTTTGAGACTTAAAGAGATGAAACTTTATGAGACTTAAAGAAATGAAACTTTATTTGCAGACCTCAAAGTTCACAGAAAACCTCTTCTCCTCAGTGAGCCAAAGGGGAACATTATGGTAGCCCAGGTGTTTCAGCTCTACTTCTGAGAGTGAGGTCAAGTTCATATTGGAAAGAAGAACCCA